TAATTGCCTTATTGTGTAATTTAAGAATACTTTTTATTCAAGTTTGCATGAACTTTTGATAAAGAAAGGAAACACTTCAACTTTTGCAAATCAATATCCCTCTAAGGTTCAATTGGGATTTTGAAAAGTAGGAGTAACCTTAATTACATAAGTATTATATCAGTGTTTTGCAACATTCAATGGAATTATGTTTATGAGGAAATAATTAGGAAAGTTCCTTAAAGATTGTTTTGAAAATTACAAAAGGAATAGACTTTAAATTTTTGTTGACTATTTCTTAATAAAGAATAAATGAACGATAGTGAGTACACTAAATGATCCAATGCACAAAATTTAAAATATTCAAAGAATTTACTTGTGCATTTGATATCATTTAAGGCATTATAGAGTAGGTATGTGGTGGGTTATAATACTTATAAGGGTAGATATTGAACTTTTAATAACCTAATTTTTGACCGCGTGTTTTTTAGGAAAATGAGTTAAGTAAGAAAATACAAATTGTACTCATTAATGGTTTATTTTCTTAAAGAAAGAAATTAAAGTTGGTACTAAGGTTTATTTGGAACATATGTTCGCCTAAACCACAAAAGAATCAAGCTTAGAAATTCTTTTGATATTTTTTAGGAAATTTTAACACATAGAAAAAAATATGTTCCAAATACATCGTCACATAGAGTATAAAGGAAATATGGCTTCTCACTTTGGTATTTAACAAGCTGGGCTTGCATATGAAAACTTATCTTATGTGTTGAATAGACTTTGATATTTTTATTCATTGCTTATTGGTTCTAAAGATTAAACAGACATTCAAGTCTGTATTAGGAATGATCAAGGGGACATAACTGGAATTGTCAAATTAGGTACTATTGAGAGCTTTAGTATTTTAGAACATTAATTTATAGCCTATTCAATATGGCTTCTTTAAATGTTTAACAACATTGCATAAAGTTATAAGAATTTTACTCTCGTTAAGGGCACCGATATTTGATATAGGAGAGGTCCTTATTCCTAAATATCTTAAAAGTCATCATATATCAATTCGTAGTGAATGAAAAATCATTATGAAATATGATGGATTGAGAAGACAAGGTCTAGGACATTTGATAACTCCTTTTAGGATTTATAGAGCTAATAAGTAATATATATTTTCAGGCAAACTTGGGATGTATGTTGCTTATAAAATGATTCAAAGTCCAAAAAGGTGTGATAAGAAATACGACAAATCATTTTTCCTTACCCTAAGTCTATTTGGAGAAAGCACTCAAGATTGTTATAAAAAAGTTTAAGTGGTGTACCAAATAAGGAATCAACTAAAATCAGTTGCAATTAAAGGTTTTACGAGACTTGGACTTAAGGGTTTTACTTGTCACTCTAGATACACTAGTCTTTCAATATATGTAATTTCTAAAATTAGTTCCCACCTAAAGTTGATGTAGATGAGATCTTAAAGTTTCTTAAGGATGTTGAGTTTGGGGGAAGATAAAGTAAAGAATGTTGTATTTAAGAGAAATTTAGTTATTTGCTCTTTATAACATATTAGTAAAGAATAAAGATCCTCCCCATTTTAGTAAAACAATCTCAACATCACTAAAAATGTCATTTATGAGAAATATGATTGTAAAGATTTAAGTTTGATAAAAGAGTATATTCTCTACCGTCAAACGAAGTCTTATCTCTTAAAAAGGAAAAATGAATGTCATAAAGAATGTGTTGAAACAACAAACAACAAAGATATTTTACATTTTGTTGTATTGCTTTGAAAAGACAATGTTAACAAATATAAGACTCATCTTGTTGTTATGATTTCAATTCTTAAGGTTGACATTAATTTTACAGATATTTTCTATGACTTCTCGAAAAGTTCTTTCAAGTAAATGACAATACTTATAACTTTTTTTTGAGTTGTGTCAGATAAATATAAAGATTGGTTTCTTAATTGTATAATTTATGAAATCAATCATCTTGTATATTTTGGAGACTTTTGATCTAGTAACACAAAGTTTCAAAAGGTTTATATTCATCTGTGATCTCAATGAAGAATTTTTTATCTGTGATTTCATAATATTGATTACATGGTGATATTATCACATGTAATATCGGAAGGTAATAAAAATAATAATTATGAATTACAGGTTTAGTGGGAGTACATTTATTTTCCTAGTATAATATGTCTGCAACATAATAAAGATTTTGTTAGAGGATGAAAACTTGAATGAACATAACTCTTTTATATTGTGAAAAGATATTGTAAGATTCATCTCAAGTAACATTGATAATTCACAAAAGAACTATGTTGAAAGGTATTGCAAGTGCTCTAGCATAAAGATTTATGCATTAAAGGATATTGAAATCACTAGTAGAGATAAGTTCACTGTCAATAGAGGTCCCTTGAATAATAAAGTAAAATAAAAAATTTATGCTTAAAGTTTATATGCTTCCGTTGCAGTATTCATATCAATAATTAAAGGAAATTTTTTTATACATCTTAATTGGATCTAAATAGTTATAAGGTGTTTAACAAAAAAGGTTACATGCTCACTCATCAAAATCATATTAATTATATATTATAAGGCTATTTGATTTTGATATTTTGAGTTGCCATCTAGATCCACCTTTGAGGCTATATTCACTAATAGGTTAAAGGATACTACTATCTCGTGGTAGAGAGTCACTTTAGTCTCTTTCACCACTAAAGTTTGTGTTTATAGTATTTTGTATGTGGCAGCGAACATAAGAATATGGTTGCAAATTTTGTCATTAGGTTGTTTTAATAAAGATATGTATTTTCCCATATTACAGCAACAAAAGCTTTTGTATGAATATTTAAGTTTCAGTTGATAAAGAAAATTCTGAGTATTTTTGTTTAAAGAAATGCAACTCCATCATTGCGGATCCGCTCATTAAGGACTTTCACAAAAGTTTTACGAGCATAATGCTCATATAGATGTGAAAATTATGGTATGTCAGTTGAGTGGGAGTTTGTGTTTTCTTAAATTAGACACGTGGTTTTTTTTTCTGTAATTATATTTGAGCTATTTAATGGGCATATGAGTGATCTTGATTATCGGTGCATGACTTCTCATTTAGTGGTGTGGCTTGCTGAGAAGAAACCAGCCCATTAATCTTACGGAATTATGGGAAACCCTAGGATTAACCTATAAATATATGGTTATGGTCCCCAATGTATTGCCCATATTCTGCATAGTTGAGGAAGACCACAAACCACACAACTTCTTGSAGATCATGGTCAATCTATCTAATTGTTCAAGGTAATTCTAATCTGTTTATAGATTTTGGTTTTCTTCCATGCTTAGATCCTTGGTCTGGAATTTTATGGCTTTTATTTTAGAATAATCATGAATTAGGATTTGTTTAAATTTTCCAACATTTTCTTCTTCCTCGTGACATCTGAGAGAGAGAATGGATTGGATTTATTTTTCAATCTGGGGTTTCGCTGCTGTGTACTTCGCCTGCAACCATTGGAGTCGTCGGTGGCTACCATTGAAGTAGCCGTGCCGTTGGGTCACTGCCGGTGGAATTGTTGGGAGAGAGAGGACAGTGGTGGATTTGTGAGAGATAGGGGAAGAAACAGGTTTGTTGAGAGAGAGGATGAGAAGCGGCGCAAAAATTAGGTCAACTTTTAAGTCGATTTTGAAAGAACCGACCGACTTATGTCATAACCGAATCAAATTTTAATAATCTGTTTAAAAGGATGACACAAACTCTGATGAAGAGAATGAAATGGTGAATGATGAGTCTACAGATGAAGATAAGAGAAATAAGCCATCGCCAAAAGAATATTCAAAAATTGAATCTGATGATGATATGTGTTCAAAGAACTCTACAGATGTAAGGGCAAATGTGGTAGAACAAAATAATTGAAATAATTAACTTAAAATCTCTTGAATGTAGGAAAAACAATTTGAATCCAAATCAAAGTTTGTTAGGCGGTTGAATATAAGATGGACAAAAAATATGGAAAATGGTAAAGTTGGAAACTCATCCTTATTTTTTAAACTCTTGAAATATCATTTAGCCATTTGTGCAAAATTAAAAACTAATGGATATTTTTAAAATGGGGATCAAGATTTAGCCACCCACCTAAATTATCCAATCATTTTTTTTTAACTCCTAAAATATGTTTTAGCCATTTGTGCCAGAACTAATGGCCACTCTTTTAAAATTTTAAAGAATTTAGGGGGAATGAGTTAGGATTAAATATCATATGAATTTAATTGATAGCAGGGTAATTGTCTAGTAAGATTAGTCGAAATGCAGGTAAGCGGGGCTGGACACTCACAGATTAAAAAAAGCATTATTATTGTTATTTTTAAATATAACATTTGAACCAATCTATTAAATTCATGAAGAGTTGTTCCACATAATCAAAATGGCCAATTATTAATGGAATTCCTTGTCGACTCTTTGTAAAATACTCATTTGGACGTGAGCTTTCAAAAACATCCTAAGCTAAACCCATGCTAATGAATGCTTGTGTAGCAACATTTTGCATTAAATTTGGGAATTAAGGAACAAATGACTAACCTAAATGTAGCTCAATTGAAGAGATAAAATGATCGAATCCTCACCCCACGTGTTTTACTCGAAGTTTTAAATGTCGATGTCGATAGAAGTATCGAAGTCTCGGGAATATCCATAAAATGTCGGTATCGATAAATAGTTCTATAAAAGTTAGAGAAATTAAAAAATCATAGAAAATATTTAAATTAACCGATAAATATTTTTCTATTTATAAATAAGTTAAACAAAACTAATATTAATATTATGTAGTATTAGTGACATATTATTTATATTTTCCGTATTTCGTCAATTTTTTTTCAAGTATGGAAATGTCAGCTTACTTTCATGTAACTCATAGATACATGGATGAGTTCATGGAAATATCGATGGTAATCTTCAGGCTTGGACAAATATCTAATAACATGGTTTTACTAAAAAAACCAATAAAATGACAAAATATTTGTGGCATGATTACAAAACCCTCATTTAGCTATCTCCGTTCCCCTTCATTTTCATTCTTGTCAAAAACCCAAGAAATCGCCGTGTCCTCCTCCCTCCTAAAACCCCACACAGCGCTTCTTCACATGGTCATAAACTCCCAAAACTCTTTCATCTTTGACTCAATTTCAAACAAACTTCCCTTAATCTCAACTTTTTTCCGTCTCCATTTCTCCTCTTAATCCGTTCGTTCGTCTCTCACAGCTACTTTTTCAGTGTGAATCTAGTGTTACAAGAAAAATTTAATCCGGACATCTAAATTGCGGTTGTCCGGTGTTGAATCTACTGTACGGCGATGCAAGGTTTTCAAGATTCCAGTGGGCCTCCGAACGTGGCTCAACTTCAAGCCACCATGCAAGCCATTGAGCTTGCCTGCGCTTCTATTCAGGTTCTACTCTTACTGGCTACTGTTTTTTGGTTGCTCAGAAAATGATCGGATGTGGAAAATGAATGAATGAAGATGGGTTTTGTAATCATGTCTATTCCCAGAAGGTTCGATGTGATGAAATTTATTGTCACTGTACATGTATAAGGCTCAAGAATCAATCCATTTGGCTTTAGTTTGATGTTGTACTAATGTGACCGATGGGATTGAAGTTAATGACCTGCACTTGCTTGTCAACTATTTGGTTGAGAGAAGCTAGGATTGATTTCTTTTCCATGACAAGATAAAAGAGGCTTGATTCTTTAGAAGTGACGCACTATAGAGTTCTAATATAAAATGTTTAACCATTGTCGCTACCATAGTTAACATTGCCGAGTCAACAGTTTTTAGCCTAAACAGTTCTTAATTATTTTGATGGAAAATAGAAAGTTTCAAACTATTTGAGTCTTGTGCGTGTGAAAACTTATGATAGCTTCTGAAAACCTTTTATGGCACATTTACGGCCTTTTGAATTGCTTTAACCTGGTTTCAATTTTATGAATTCCAGAATGGTACTTTTCATGTTCACTCTTCACTATGAATAGGCTTCAGGCTACTATAGTCAATATAACTGTTTAACTGTTTTTAGCCAAAATAGTCTTTTATTATTTTTATAGTAAAATAGAAATTCTATATACATTTGAGTCTTGTGTGTGGGGAACTCTATGATCATTTATTTAAAAAGGTGATCATTTCTTAAGAGCATTTTGCGGCACTTTATGTCTATATTTGAATTGCCATAACCTGTTCTGATTTTGCCGGTTCCAAATTGATACTTTTAATGTTCTTCGTGAACGTGCTTCAATGGTCAAGCTAATGCTGCTCTCTAAGCCTTTTTTGTTGTAATGTTTGCACAATCCATTATCACGGAAATGCAATTTTTTGTGCATATTCTCTCTTAGATGCATATCAATCCATCTGCAGCTGAGGCAACTATTTTATCACTTCGCCAGTCGCCTCATCCATATCAGACATGCCAGTTCATCCTTGGTACGTTGGTTTGCTGGAGAAATTTTGAATTATTCTTAAGCTGAAAAAATGCATTTTTGAGACTGCACAACATGGAGTAGGACTGCAATATGTTCTTGAACTTGAACATAAGGATTGTGTATTAGACAACTTATGATAGGAATCATTTTATAATCATTTTTTTTAAATAAGATACTAAAATATATTGATAAATCACATGGAGTACAAAAATAGGGGAATAAGAAATCCAACCCAAACACCAAAAGGGAGTTTGGTTCACCTATTAAGCTTTGCAAAGTCGGGAGTTTGAGAAATCATGCCTAAATTTGGTTTGCGTATCTTGTTATCCCAAGATATAGGTTTTCTAGTCCCATGAACTAACTTTTGCCAATTACAAATCTACAAATCAAACGTAGGCTACAAGGCTACAAAATACAGGCTTATGAAATTTACCCTTCTATGCAATTTTGTAGCCTCTTTAGAAGAAAGTGAGGCCAAAGTGAGGCACAAAATCGCTCTTCATAAGAAACACAAATCCTTCCTTTCACCCAATTGGTGCATTATGAAGAAGCACACACTTTAGTTTGGGTAACGTGACTATGTTCGATACCTGTCGGATACTCCGACACTCATTAGACACGTATCAGACACTTGATGTGTGTCATGTAATAGTTGTACAAAAGGAATATGGATTTGACATTAGTTAGGCACGTATCGAACACTTGGAAAACATAAAAAATAGACAAATAGTCAAATTGGACATAATAATAAATTTTGAGAGCAAAATTCATCAAACTCATTTTTTATGCATAACAACGCATAGGGTTATTGCGCCCAAGGAGCAACTCAACTGGCAAGGACTTAGGGTCTCTCGATCATATCGGCTTAGGGATCTCAAGTTCAAACCTTCCGATGTGCTTAATACCAAAAAACTTTGATATCTCCTAGGTCCGGGCCTTAGGGTTGGCGGGGTGCCCCTGGATATAGGGTAGCAAAACTCCAATTCCCATTCCCAGTTACCAAAAAAAAATTAAAAGAAAAAATGCATAAAGTTAATGACTTTGAATTTATTCCTGTATTAAAATGATATATATTTAAAAAAATGTCTATTTAGCAAACGTGTCTTTACCATATATATGTCCTAGATTTTCAAAAAATAATATGTCATCGTATCCGTATACGTACTTCTTGGTGTGCATTATGTGTAAGAGGCATTCTAAGGAATTTTTTTTTGGTAAAAGAAACAACTTCATTGATGTATGAAATTACAAGAGTGGCCCATAAGAGGGAATTCTAAGGATCATTCTCATCTTTTTCTTTGGTGCCCTTTTGCTGCTATTGTTTGTGCTAATGTATTATGTATTTTTGGAATCAGTTTGGTTTTCCTAAGGCCATTGGTGAATAGTGTTCCACTTGTTTGGTTCTTATTTCAAGGGTCAAGGTGGTGTAATTCGGTCATATTCGGTAGCTGCTATTCTAGCATGAAAGAAATTAGAGGAACTTAAAAGGACATGAGTCCAGTATTGAGGACTTGTGGGAGCTTACTAGATTCTTCTCATCTTCTTGGTGCTCCCTTGGCAATGATTTTTGTAATTATGAGCTTTTACATACCCATACCAGTTGGGAATCATTTTTGTAATCCTTAGTTTTTTGAGGATATCTCATCTTCCTGTTTTGTATTCTTGACTCTGGTTAAGAATATACATAGGTAATATAAGTCCTTGTGCTGTGGTCTACACACCTTCGTTAGTTCTGCAATATAAAAACATTTGATAACAGGAGTTCAATGTATTTCTCTTCAATAACCCAATATTTCTTTTGGCTGCCTTATTTAACGCCAACTTACTTGTATTTTGCAGAATACATTGTTTTTGTTTCTGCTTTTTATGATCTCCATCTTTCCTGAATCCTGCTAACTATTTAATTTCTTTGAGTCTTTGCATGTACTTCAAAGGGCTATGAAAACTTATATACATGGACATTTCTTATTATGGTGCGAAAGATGGTCTATCAAACTTTAATGTTGATTTTGGTCGTTCATGTTTTATTCAGAAAATTCTCTGGTGGCTAATGCACGGTTTCAGGCTGCTGCTGCAATTCGAGATGCTGCCATTAGAGAGTGGAGCTTTCTTACGGCTGATGTTAAGAAAAGTTTAATTCGGTCATCTCTTAATCTTATGAAACTAGAAATTTCTTACTTGTATTGCACATGTAATGTATTTTAACATGTTTCTAAATTTTAGGGTGAATTGCACAGTCTGCCCTTGAACTACTGTGATTGTCTTGAGATTAGTTGCACTGTGTGCATGTTGGTTCAAACATTCAAAAATATAGAAAAAGGTGAAAAAAGGTGGTGAGAGAATGGAGGAGTTGTTAGATTGTGCCAAGCTAATTTTTCTTAATGGGTATCTTTAGTAAGGTGTTTGAGGGACATTCCATTTCTGTTTTGAATGATAATCAGGAAAGTTTTTTTTAAATAGCTTTGTATGTATCGTGGAAATTTTATCAGGTGTGGTTTTTGTGTTTTTATTGTAATATGTTGAGAATACTATACATTATCTTTTAAACTTATTTAACTTTTCATTCCATATCAATGAAAGATTCGTGTTTTGTTTCAGAAAGTCCATACAAGTATTTTGTTTTGTGTGTGAGTTAAGCAATCCTCAACTTGTTTTGTGTGTTGTTGAGCAGTTATCTATTTATTTTTGTAAAAATAAATATCTACTTGTAATCAAGCATATTTTTTGGATAAATATGTCAACGTGCAGTTTCTGTCTCTGCTATATTATGCAACATGCGAGCTCACCAGAGCGCTATGTTCAAGCAAAGGTTTCTGCTGTGGCTGCTCAATTGATGAAAAGGGGCTGGTTAGCTTTCTTATCTTTCTGTTTCTCACAAACTTTAGATACACATTTCTTATACACAACTATGCGATATTAGTTGTCTAGTGTATCTTAATACTATTACAAAAAAGATCCTAGGATTCCTTCCAAAGGGATGAAAAGGGGTTTGGTCGGAATGCTTTTGACTTAGCTAAGTTCAAAGCTTCGCAATGGTGCTCCTCATCCTCCTTGTTCAAGACTACTCTCCCGGCTTGATCTCCGATTCTTAAAACGCCTCTATTTAGCCCTCTTAGTTTCGTGATATTGTCTTGTATTTAAATTTGGGTTATGCTCTTACTTGCTGTTTTTTCTATCACTCCGAGTTAGTATCTTTGAACACTTTTGATTATTTTCATTCATCAACGAGAATTTCGTATCTTGTTAAAAAAAAAACTTTCACGATGATTGGTTAAAATTTTTTGAAATTTTTTGACAAGTGATAGCCTTGGGGTGTGGTATGAATTTTTATTTTTATTTTTATATTTTTGTTTTGTTTTAAAATTTTTGAAATACTAAATAATAAATACCTTAAAATTTAAAATATGTAAAACTAAATTTTGAAATCGAACCCATAAATGTGGAAGACTAAAACTAACGGTTTTTTATTTTATTTTATTCTTTTAAGATTTTTGGGCTTCTCTTTCTATAGTTCTCTGCTTTATTTTTCTTCTTCTTCCTCAACTCTTTTCTTCTTCTTCCTTGGCCCTTTTAAATTTTTGGGGTTTCTCTTTCTATACTTCTCTACTTTATTTCTCTTCTTCTTGCTCAACTCTTCTCTTCTTCTTCTTCCTGCCCGCCTTTGTCGCTACCACCACACTGCGCTGTCTTCGTCCCCGCCGCCACCACCACACCCCGCCGTCTCCACTATCGGTGACACATCACCCTGTCTTTTCCACTACTGCCGCCTCCACCTTCGTTTTTTTCTAGCCAACCCAAAAACTGCCCAGTAAGACCCATAAGAAGGCCTAGTTAACCCAAAAGTTGCAAAATCAAACCAAACCAAACYGAATTTCTAAATTTCGATTTCGGTTTGGCCCTAAAACCAAATAAAACCGAATCGTGAACACCCCTAATGAAAGCTAAGACTACTTTTAGGTTTAATCTCATTTTTTTAACAAGATACAAACTTTTCATTGATTGATGAAACAGAACAAAAATTGTTCCAAGTACACCATAAAGAAAAAAGCTAACAAGGAGATATAAAATCCTCCCGATTCCAACAAATCACGCTAGGAGAGTATTTAGCAAATAAATCAGAAAGCACACCATTGAGAGACTTTAAACTTAGTAATGTTGAAACAATCTAGGTAAGACCTCTATTTTCCTTCGAACACCCTTTGGTTCCTTTCAAACCAAAGTAATCTCAATTTTTGCAACATATTTTTTTTGGAACAATAAACAACTTTTCATTGATATATGAAAAGGAGAAAAAGTTCAAGGATAAAGGAGAGAGAAAAAGAGAAAAGAAATAAAATAAAAAGAGGCCGATAATGAAGAGACCATAAAAGCCAAAAAGATCATGCCAACTATTAGCAAAAAGATCCATCAAGATGCAAGGACAAAAAAAGAGAACTTTAAGAATCTTTAACTTTGGACCAAAACGAGCATAGTTTAGCGGTAATTGACATATATCTCACAACCTCTTTTGATTCCCCATCCCCACATGTTATGCTCAAAAAAGAATCTTTAACTTCGGACTCGCTAGCAACTTCATCAATGTCTTTAACTTCTAGAAAAAGGACATTGAGATCTTGAGAAAATTTGGCTCGAATTTCAGCTGTTTCTCTTTCCCGATCAGCTTGAATCGCCAACGTATTGAAAGAGTTCTTCTCTAGTGAAGGGAGAATGAGAGCAGGACATTGAACTAGCTTAGGGAGACCCAAAGAAGGCCTGGCTCCATGACAAAAACATGAGAAGAGGGATCGATTGAAGAGGTGCCTCCAATCAGGATTGGTCATCATCAAACATAGAAGAAACACCATCTTTGAAGGGCTCTTCATCAATATTTTGATCATCATGAAGCTGATTTTTTGAAGCAATGCTACTAACACTAATAATGGCCTCATCGAAATCCTCATCCCCATCCCCGTCGTCCACTAAACATTTTTGATTAAGTTGTCACTAGTTGAATTATTATAATTATAATTATAATTATAATCATTTATTTATTTTTATCACATGTCCTTGGTCTAGGTTTATTAATACATGTATCATTTTTACTTTACGTGGATTATGTAGCTATTTCTGTTTTTTATTTTTTTATTTGTTTAGGTTTCTTAACTCCTTTTATCATGAATTTTATTTTGTACTTTCATCACTCGTTATGAGTCTCTTAATTTCATATGAAAATAATATTTTTAGTAGTTTTAGCATCAACCTTTAAGGTATCAGTCAACTTGGCTGGTCTGAAGCACAAGTTTTCTAGTGAAATAATTCAAATCATCACTAAATGTTGACATATTTAATGTGTAGGCTTGATTTTGAGGCCTCTGAGAGGGAGTCTTTTTTTTATCAGGTATCAATATCAATATGCCTATGTCAATCTGTTCATATTTTGTTCTTTATATTTTTGACCGTTAGTGTTAAATATTTTCCTTTTTAGAAATGTTAGACGTAGATATTGTTTGTGCATATTTAATCTTATATTGGTTGTACTAATTAAGTTACCATTATTTTTTCTTTTCTTTCCTTGTTCGGTAATTGGTTTCTCTCCTACATAAGAAGACATTTGCTTGCTTATTAAAACAAGTGTGCCTAATAATGGAAATAAGCTCCATCAGAGTTGTGAAAACTATTGGAAAATTCTTGGGAAACCTCGGATTCGCCCTTGGGGTAGGTGCTGGTGCCCTTGGGTATAGGGGAGCACAACTCCCACTTCCTGTTATTAAGAAAAAAAGAAAAAAATTATGGTGAGAACTGTATAGTTGACTGATGCCTACTATTTAATAAGTAGTAAATTAATTTCTCTTGAACTTGCTAAAGACCAAATTTTCACCTTAAGGGCCTTTATTGTTGGGAGAGAGATTTTGGATCAACCTGTTATTGCTAATGAGGCTATTGAGAATTATAGGAGTTGTAAATAGGAAGGTCTTTTTAGATTGATTTTGAGAAAAGCTTATGATTATGTAGATTGAGATTTCTTATGCAGGGTGGTTTGGAAGGAAGGTTTTAGGTCTAAGTGGAGTTCTTGGACTTAAAATTGTATAAAGACAGTTAAATATTCTATCATTGTCAATGGAAAATTGGGGTAGGGTTTTCGGAGGCCTTATACAAGGTTGATCCTCTATCCCCTTTTCTCTTTTGACTGGTCGTGGATAGTTTTAGCAGATTGGTCTCTAGGGGGAGTGGAGAAGGATGTGTTCTTGGACTTGAGGGGTTTTGAGTGGGAGGGGTAGGTAACATCGTTTACATCCCGATAATGTGATTTTCTTCTGCCTGGTTCAAGATGCCTTTGTTAATCAATGGTTTAAACCATGATCAATCTAACTTGGCCTTTCTTGTGAGATGTGAGATGGGTAGCTTCCCTTCGTAATGTTGTGGCCTTCCTCCATGCCACGATCCTAATAGCTCGTCGTTTTGGAACTCTATTTGGATAAGATCCAAACACGGCTTCCCTTCTAGAGAAGTTCCTCTTGGAGGTAGGTTGACCTTCATCCAATTTATTTTAAGCTAGATTGCCACTTTCTTTCCTTGTTTAGGACCAATGTTTTTGTCATCAAGAATCTCAAGATGTTTACGAGACACTTTGTTGTGGGAAGGAGTTGACGAGGATAAGAAGGTTGGTTGGACTTGGGATTTTGGCATAGGTAATTTTTTTTTTGATAAGAACCTGTCACCATATATTCTACACCAAAACAAACAAAAGAAAAAGCCTAAAGGCAGGGTAGAGAAAATCCTCCCCAAAGAGCTATACAATCACAGTTTTCCAATCACGTATCATCAATTGAAGACTATAGTTACAAAAAACCTTCTTGTGGATTGTAGCCCACCAAGAAGCTGTATGCTGTATATTCACACAAAAAGAATCCACCTACTATTCCTTTCTTTCTAAAGGAGCCAAAGTAAGGCTCTTGCAGCACAATTCCAAAGGATCTAAGCTTTACCCTTGAGGGTTGCTCCCCCTAAACCTTCAGAAATAAAGTCATCTAACTTTTTAAGGAGACACATGGAACCATCCAAAAGGGAAGCATATGAGACCAAGCAGTAGAAGCGACCGGACAGTGAATAAAGAAATGGTTCACCGATTCTGAATCTCTTAGGCACATAGGACAAATAGAGGGAGTAAGGGCCCAAGGGGAGGCTTTAGCTGGAGCTTTTTTGCTGCATTGACCCCTCGATAGGAAAACGACCAAGAGGAACACTTTCACCTTTTTAGGAACCCTGAAATTCCAAATCTGATTTGCAGTGGAGGATTTCATTCTTGGGGAAGGGGACGTTAGAGCCAAGAAAGCTGAGTTTGCTGAAAAAACTCCAGTTGTATCCACCTTCCACCACAATCTGTCGAGTCCCTGCCCTAACAGCAATCCATAAAGGTTCTCTGCAAACAAAAGCCCACCTCTCTCTATATTCCTCTCAAAGAGGTTTCTTTTGAAAGCCAGATCCCACATCAAGGCCTCTGAATTCCTACAATCAGCAATTGACATCCCTTTCTTAGAAGACAAGTTGTAAAAGTTTGGGAAAGAGATGGAGAGTGGGGACAAGTTTACCCAAGTATCTTCCCCAAAAATGGACTCTATTCCCCGATGATACCTTTAACCTTAAAAAGCGTGAAATTAAAAAAGGCCCTACGAGTGCTTTCTATATCAATCCATGGCCTAGCAGCTGAAGAGCCTTTGCTGATTTTTGCCATCCACCCAAAAGAATCCCCCCCATAGATAGCTATGATCACCCTCCTCCGCAGTCTTGCATCTTCCAAAGCAAACCACCACAGCCACTTCATTAGGAGAACTTTATTTCTAAGATGGAGAGAGCCAATTCCTAATCTTCCCTGCATAGTAGGTAAGGCTGTCCAAGACCATTTGATCAGATTCCCTACCAGCATAGGTAATTTGAAATTGCGTAATGAAGCCCTATTAGCTAAGTGGTTATGACGTTTCCTCCTAGGGCCTCAGATAGGGAAACCCTATCTTCTCTTTCCTCTTCACCATTTTGGGAAACTCCCTTAACCGCTCCATTCATTTTTGTTGTAAAAAGGGTTCCTTAGAAGCACCCTAATAGGTTATTAAGAAGTGGCAGTCATTCACCTCCAATATGCTGATGTCACAATCATATTCTGCCAGAATCATGAAAACGACCTGTCCGATCCAGATGGTGGACTTTTCTCATGGTTTTTCTGTTAGGCAATGGGCTATCTGTTAATCTTGAGAAAACGTGGGTATCAACATTGAGAGGGATGTGCTGAATTTTTATGCTGCAGAAATAGGGTGCAAAGTAGGTAGGCTCCCCATCAAATATCTTGGCGTTTAGCTGGGAGGCAATCACAGAAAAGCATCATTGGGATCCTATTGTTGATAAATTCTGAGCCAAACTTGACAAGTGGTGGAATCTTATCCTATTTAAAGGAGGTAGACATAGACTCACCCTTGCCCTCTCAAATTTTAGTAGTATCCCTCTTTTTGCTTTCTCCATCTTTTAACACTCCTGATAGAGTGTTGTCAGAAATCGGGAGGATTGTAAGAAATTGCTTTTAGAATTGGAAGAGTTGCCACCCACAGCACATTTGGTGAGTTGGGACCGTACTTCTTTCCTAAAGTTTATGGAGGATTAGGTCTGGGTGCTTACAAATCGTGTCCTGGGGGAGGTTGGTGACTTTTCAGATGCACCCCTTATTGATAAATCTGTTGGAGAAGGAAAGAAGATTCCTCCAAAGTTGTTGACGGAGGTTGAAGTTATAACTGCTCTGGTGATGCATGACCTTTCGCTTAACGAAGCATTTATTGAGGTTGGCAGAATCAAGCGCAGTATTAATGATCAGCCAACTAAAATCCTCATTAAAACCCAATTAGAAAAAAGGTTCTCCTATTCCAAATAGCGTTAAGGATACCACAAACTCCTTCATTAGTGCTTACTCTCACTATTAAACGTGGAAAAAAGGGCCAAAGAATGTGATTATTGCTTTTATTGCTTACTCCCATCAAGTGGTTATAATGTTTTCTTTCAAAGCCTATTACTTTGTGACATAGTATTGTTTTGAGCAAATACAGGGCTCTTCCTTTTGGGTGGGTTTGATTCTAATTTCTACGGCTAGGCACTTGCATTGAGGGCCCTCTGGCTTTGATTATTTTTCTAAATTTGTTAAATTTTCAGTTGGGGGTGGCCTGGTCGACCATTATTTGGAGGGTTGTTGGTTAGGAAAGTCTCCTTTTTATCTCATGTTGATTTGAAATTCGGTTTCAGGGTTTTTAAATCTTCTTTTCACCAGGATCCGAAGATATTTTTACCCAACTGGTTCCTATCTCAAAGTTTTTATCTTGCTTCAGAATTGTGAAACCCATTGTTCTCTATGCGTAACAGATAAATCAGTCTATTCATGGTGCTCATGGTTCTGATGTGCAGTTTTGTGGAATTAACTTTCTGGAGTCATTGGTAAGAAATATTTTCTTGAATTTGCCTATTTGACATGTTTTCCTGGTTGTATGTTTTTCTATATTTGTGGACTCTTTTGTATATTTCATACCATCATTGAAATATCAGTTTCTTACCCAAAGAATGTTTTCTAAAAATTACACTGGCTTACATTTTCTTGTTTTCTAATCTACTTCGAAAATGTTAGCCAAAATTTTAAAACTAAAAGAAAATTTGTTAGAATTTGTTTTTGGTTTTGAAAATTTGCCAGTTCAAGGTTATTATAAAAGGTGGAAGATTAAATAATAATATTATTAGTAGACCAGGTTAGTTTTAAAAAATGGAAAGCCAAAAAAGAAAATCATTATTTAATGGACCTTTATTAATGGAAACTTTATTTCTTTACATGTGCCTCAACATTTTTTTCGAAGGTTTAACATTATAATGTTAACTACTTCCTCCTCAATAGGTATCAGAATTTTCACCGTCTACATCAAGTGCCATGGGTCTTCCTAGGGAGTTTCATGAGCAGTGTAGAAGGTCATTGGAGTTGAACTACCTCAAGGTTCTTGAACTTATTTTGCTCCTTTTCTTATTTTGTTTAAATTAATATTACTACTTAAATGTTTGTTCTTGCAAGCATGTCTTTGGTTCTTTTGTTCTTAATTTGACATTTTATCATTCATTCTCTCTTTTTATGACTTAAATAATAGACGTTCTACTGTTGGGCAAAAGATGCTGCTGCAAGTGTCACCAGCATGATAATTGATTCTCAGACTGAGGTTCCTGAAGTCAAAGTTTGTACTGCTGCTTTACGTCTGATGTTTCAAATCTTGAATTGGGATTTTCATAATACCGTTGCTGCTAAGGCCAGTATAAACTTTTACTTTGTTGGAGTCAAGGATCATGGTGATTCAACCAAGCGATCCGAGTATAACTTGGTGCAGGTGAACAAATTTCTGCTATTGTTGATTATTGTTGTTATTGATTTTTTAACTTTAGGCAAATTGAATTTTCATGTAACCAAATAGTTGTGATGCAACCAAGAATGTTTGTTTTAGTTAGTTAGAACATCTTTAGTTATAAAGTTTGTTAGGCTTTAACCATTCTGTTAAATAGCCATGGCTATTTTCTCTTCCCTTGTAATTCTACAGCCTTCCTCCTATTAAAGGAGGCTGCTCTAGTTCATTAAAAGGCATTGATTCATTTAACAAAATACTCACCAAGTTGCTTTTGAAGTTTGTCAAAAAAAAAAAAAGAATGTTGCTTTCAAACATGTTTATAGATAATCAAGAAGAATGTACTTAAGAGTGAAAGTGGCATTTTTAAAATAGAGATCAAACGACCATGTAAGAACAAAGTATTTACATGAGTACAGGAAATTTTAGGATTGTTATCATGAAAACAAGAAAATTTAAATTTTAGGGCACTCATGAATCCCACCTGTATCTTTAGTCGAAGCACTTTGATGTCCTATCATAATCTAAAAATCCCAACTAATATGATCGGACCTTTTCACAGTCAATTTGAAACCCAAGAATCTGATAGAACCTCCGAATATATTGAAGGATAAAAGATAAACAAACTACAATAGCTACCAAGTATTAGAGAGGTACTTGGACCCTCCCCTCTTGAGATATCACTCAAGTCTAAATGATGTATTCGTTGATAGTTTTACAATAATTAGTTTAGTTATCTTATTAAGAAGTTAGTTGGTAATTGGTTAGTTAAGAAGTTAGTTGGTAAATTGGTTAGTTAAGTTGGTTACCCTTCCAACAGAAGCCTATAAAAGACATCTTTCCCTTCTGTTTGATTCATTCAGAAAATCAATAAAGTTTCTTCCTTTGGTTATACACCAAATTGGTATCAGAGCCCTGAGCTAAGTTCCCTCGGATCTGATGGCTGGAAAGACCGCAGCGCCTTCCGGCAAGGTACCCACAGCGGAGACCACAGCAAATCAGCCACTGTCGCCAAGATCGGCTACCGAACGTTTACTGTTGGTAGAGGACTCTTTGGGCGAAGTTCGTGCCAGTGTGCAGACAATCTATGGGTTGATGGAAAACTTGTCGAAGCACTTGGAGAACATTGCGATCGAACAAGAACGACTTCGGGATGACTTGGGCGGTCATGGCACTGCAGGTGGTGGCCAGCACGCCCAACGCAGCGATGGAATCATCCAAGAAACATCCAAGAGATAGAAACAGATCATCCAATAAACAGATCTCAAACGGCCGATGCAGCTGGTCGTGAACGGGGCCTTGAGCGTCGATTCCAAGACTTGCAGTTACGCATTCAAGATTCCGATTCTTCGGATGCTGAAGACAATTTTTTTCGCGCCAATCCTAGGCGCGATCGGGAGGAGTACCATCATGGCGGGGATGTTCGTCTTGATTTTCGAATGAAGATAGATCTTCCAACTTTTAATGGGAAGATGAATGTCGAAGGGTTCTTGGATTGGGTCAAAAACGTTGAGAATTTCTTCGATTATACCAACACGGCTGAACATAAGAAGGTTCGTCTGGTGGCCTTCAAACTTCAATCCGGAGCTTCCGCCTGGTGGGATCAAGTTGAGATCAATCGCCGCCGTTTAGGAAAACAACCCATTCATAGCTGCCCACGGATGCTCCGTCTGATGCGTGAAAGGTTTCGGCCAGCAAATTTCGAACAACTGTTGTATCAACAGTATCAGAGATGCCGTCAAGGTTCGAAGACCATCACAGATTATGCTGAAGAATTTCACCGGCTTGGTGCAAGAACTAACTTGGCCGAATCAGAGGACTACAAGATTGCGCGATTTGTAGATGGTCTTTGAGAGGACATTCAAGATCAATTGGATGTCCAACCCATCAATATGTTGACCGATGCAATCACCATGGCTACCAAGATTAAGAGAAACTTGAGCGGAAACGATTGAAGCCTCCTATACGTCGGACGACTTGGGACAGAGCATCTTTATCCAAAACTGCTCTTCTTGAGTCAAGCAAACCAGTGGGCACCGGGACTTCATCCACTCCTCCTCTTGCCAAAAATCTTGAAGAGCCAGCTAAGTCTTCTTTTCCTTTTAAATCTCCTGATCAACCAACACAAAAAGGTACTAATCAATATACCCGCCCTACTTTGAGAAAATGTTTCCGTTGTGGGCAAGTCGGGCATCTCTCCAATGAATGTCCTCAACGACGTGCGATTGCCCTGGTTGATGAGGATGAACCTGATGTTCCGGAGGATGATGACATCTTGTACAATGATACGGCATATGTCGAAGCCGATGAAGGTGATCTTGTCAACTGTATGATCCAAAAGATCCTTTTGACTCCCAAAGTTGAACTCCAACCGCAGAGACATTCCCTCTTTCGGATCCGTTGCACCATTAACGGTAAAGTGTGTAATGTGATCATCGACAGCGGTAGTAGTCAAAACATGGTTTCTCATAAACTTGTGTCTGCTCTTAACCTCAAGGTGGATCCACATCCTAACCCATATAAGGTATCTTGGATACGAAAAGGAGGTTAAGCTACTGTAAATTCAGTATGCACCGTACCTCTTTCTATTGGCAACCAATATCGAGATCAAATCATTTGTGACGTCTTGGAAATGGATGCCTGCCAACTTCTTCTCGACCGTCCCTGGCAATTTGATCTCCAAACAATCCACAAGGGGAGGGATAATACATATGAATTCACGTGGATGGGCAAAAAGATTATCCTCTTACCTTCCACCATCGACCTTAAGCAGAAACGTGACAAGAACATCAATCTTACACCTTTGTTTTCCCTTATTAAAGGCAAAACCTTCATCCAGAAGGAGGACTCTGTCGTTTTGGCTTTAGTGGTGAAACATGACACACCTGCTCCCTTTGCCGCTTTTGACCAACCTGAAATCCGGGAGTTATTATCCGAATTTCCCATTTTAAGCCAAGATCCTATTGACCTCCCTCCTTTACGGGACATACAACATCAGATCGATTTCATTCCGGGAGCTACTTTACCCCATCTTCCTCATTATCGCATGAGTCCTAAAGAGTATCACATTCTCCATGAACAAATTCAGGAGTTACTCAACAAAGGTCACATCTGGCCAAGTTTGAGTCCCTGTACTGTTCCGGTGTTGTTGGCTCCTAAAAAGGATGGTTCGTGGCGTATGTGTGTGGATAGTCGTGCCATGAACAAGATAACTATAAAATATCGTTTTCCTATTCCTCGTCTATCTAATTTATTGGATCAGTTACATGGTGCCCAGTTTTTTTCAAAGATAGATCTAAAGAGTGAATATCATCAAATCCGTATTCACCCAGGGGACGAATGGAAGACAGCCTTCAAAACCAATGAAGGTCTTTTTGAATGGCTCGTCATGCCTTTTGGGTTATCCAACGCCCCAAGCACCTTCATGAGGTTAATGAACCAGGTTTTTCTCCCTTTCCTTAATCACTTTGTCGTTATTTACTTTGATGATATCTTAGTTTATAGCAAAACTCACGAAGACCACATCACTCATTTATGCACAGTATTTCACACATTAGAAACACATCAACTTCATATTAACCTTAAAAAATGCTCCTTTCTTCGTACTGGGATATCTTTCTTAGGATTCATCATCTCTAGATTTGGTATTTCGGTTGACCCGGCCAAAATTGCAGCTATTACACATTGGCCTACCCCTACAACTGTCCGAGATGTCCAATGTTTCTTAGGCTTAGCTTCATTCTATAGGAAATTTCTCCGTAATTTCAGCACCATTGCCGCTCCTTTAACAGCTTGCCTTAAGAAAGGATAGTTTACATGGGATACCGATCAAGACCAAAGCTTTCTCAACCTCAAAGAAAAACTCAGTACCACACCCGTCCTTGCTCTTCCTGATTTTAGTCAACCATTTGAAATAGCAGTGGATGCTTCGGGCTTGGGGATTGGGGCAGTTTTATCACAACGACACAATCCTATAGAGTTTTTTAGTGAAAAATTAACTCCCCGTAAACAGAAGTGTGCACATATGAACAAGAATTATATGCACTAATACGGGCACTCAAGCAATGGGAACACTATCTTGTCGGTAAGGAATTCATTCTTTTTACCAATAATTTTTCACTAAAATTTCTTCAAACACAAAAAACCATTAATCGAATGCATGCTCGTTGGATATCGTTTATTCAAAAATTTGACTTCGTTATAAAGCACAAAGCCCGTGTTACTAATAAAGTGGCTGATGCCCTTAGTAGAAAAGCAAGCCTACTTACGTTGTTAGCTGGACAAATCCTTGCTTTTGATCACCTACCTACATTATTTCAAAGACATTTGGACTAAGTGTCAGCAACATGTCAATTGTGAAGACTTCCATATCATGGATGATTTTCTTTTTAAGAGTGATAAACTCTGTATACCACACACATCTTTACGTGAAGTCCTAATAAAAGACTTACATGCTGGCGGTCTGGCGGGACATTTTGGGACCACTAAAACATTTGAACTGGTGGCTGACCGATTTTTTTGGCCGCAAATCCGAGAGGATGTCAATAACTTTGTTTTACGCTGCATTATATGTCAAAAATCCAGAGGCCAATCCCAAAATACAGGATTATATACACCATTACCAATACCAAAATCTATATGGGAGGACTTGTCTATGGACTTTGTCCTAGGCTTGCCAAAGATACAACGTGGCTATGATTCGGTATTGGTAGTAGTGGATAGATTTAGTAAAATGTCTCACTTCTTACCATGTAAGAAAACTTCCGACGCCATATACGTGGCCAATCTGTTTTTCCGTGATATAGTACGGCTACATGGGATACCAAAAACTATTGTCTCGGTACATTTCTCTTGTTCTCACTTGTTCATATTACGCATTTCTGCAAGTAGCAAAACGTAAGTAGGCTTTGTTGTCGCTCCTCTCTCCCCCCCTTTTCGGTTCCCTTTTGGTGATTTTTCAAATTTTTAGCGTGTTATTAACTTATTATTTTCTTGGAGTGTGAACCAATTGTTTATTGAAGAATGGAAGTTACTAGCTGTTGTATTGATGATAAGTTTTTCTGCATTTGGGCCGTGAATGGTTTGTTCATGTTGGAGAATGTTGCTAGGAAAACTCTGGTTCCCTACACTCTTCTCAGTTCCTGTGGTTTGAAAATCACATGGTTGAGATAAATCAGAAATTAGTTCATGCTCAATCTTGCCATGGACTTCATGGGGGGCTCTGCCTAAGTCACAAGGGCAGGACACCATACTGGTGGTTGTCGATCGTTTGACTAAGTATGCCCATTTCCTACCCTTGAGTTTGACTAAGTATGCCCATTTCCTACCCTTGAGTCATCCTTTTACTGCCAAAACGGTAGCTTCTCTGTCTGTGAAGGAGATAGTCCGGTTACATGGATTCCCAAGATTGATTGTATCTGATAGAGACAAAGTCTTCATTAGTCATTTTTGGATTGAGCTTTTCAGGCTTCAGGGAACTAAACTTCAGAGGAGTACAGCCTGTCATCCTCAAATGGATGGCCAATTCAAAATTGTGAACAAATGTCTGGCAGTGTATCTTCGTTGTTTTTGCAGTGAAACTCCGCGACAGTTGGGCCAGTGGCTGAGTTGGGCTGAGTATTGGTATAACACTACGTACCATAGCTCCATCGGTCTCACCCCATTCCAGGTAGTCTATGGATGGGCTCTACCTCTGCTGATCATGTACGGTGATCAGAGGACATCTAATGCCAACTTGGACTAGTTACTAGCTGAGAGAGACACGACCCTTGAGCTTATTAAAGATCATCTTCGACTGGCGCAAGAGCGGATGAAAAGACATGCTGACAAGGACAGACGAGAGGAAGAGTTTGAGGTCGGGGATTGCGTTTACCTGAAGATACGTCCTTATCGGCAGAAGTCCCTTGCTAAAAGGCGAAATGAGAAGCTTCGACCTCACTTTTATGGGCCTTACACCATCCTCCAGCGTGTTGGTAAGGTAGTTTATCACCTAGATTTGCCCTCGGACGCGGCCATACACCCTGTCTTTCATGTGTCAGAGCTGAAAACGGTGCTTGGAAATGCTGCAGCCTCACCACAGATTCCTATCAAGTTGTCTGAGGATTTGGTTTGGCAGGCTGAAACTGATGAAATCTTTGCCTTTTGAACCAATGATGAGATAGGGGAACAAAGAGGTGCTTTTGAGCTGGAAGGGACTGCCGGAGGAAGAGGCAACTTGGGAATCATTCCAGAACATGTGCAAACAATTTCCAGATTTTCACCTTGAGGACAAGGTGTTGGTGAACCCGGGGGATATTGTTAAGCCTCCCATACTTAACACTTATAGTAGGAGGGGCATATTGGGAAATTGACCAGAGGCCTTAACGGCCAAGAGAGAGAAAATAATGTAAGGGCCATAGTAGGGAATATAGGGGGAATGGAGGTTAGTTAGGAGCATATCGAGTATTTTTGTATTGCTTGGCAAGCCTTAGGAGGAGAGATCACCCACCCTCTCGAATTGGTGGGTTGGCTGTAATCCCTTTGGGAAGTTTTCATATCCACGGTTGATTCTAGTGAGGAGATACCTGACACATTTCTCTTGTTTAAGACTCTAAGCCATGTTATTTGAAATGTTAGAAAATATTTTATTTTTTCTGCATTCTCCAGTGTGTCTGCTGGCATTACACAAATTTGTTGGATTGAAGTTAGTTATTGTTCATTTATTTTTTGATTTATCGTTTCTTTTAGTTAGGCTTTTATGCTTTGCACTTCTTTTTTAAAGGTGTATGCTGCACAACTATTATTTTCTCTTCTTTGGTGCTTGTAGCCTGGTCCTGCTTGGTGTGATGTCTTGGTTTCAAGTGGCCACATTTCATGGCTTTTGAATTTATATGCGGCACTTCGACAGAAGTTTTCATGTCAAGCGTTTTGGCTCGACTGCCCTATAGCTTTATCGGCTCGAAAGCTAATCGTACAATTTTGCTCTTTGGCAGGAACAATATTTCATTCTGGTAAAGCTGCCTTCTTGCATATATATCAAGTTGCCACGTGATTTATTTTTATATCCTTGATATTATTATTTTTATCTATATAACAAAGTAATCTTGTTGTATCAGATGAAGGCCTTACTTGAATTGAATCAGTTCTATAGGTTGTAACACTGTGTCCTCGAGTTCTAGCGAAGTTATACACTCAACAACCATAAATTTTACAATTGATGAATTGGTAATTTTAAAATTACATATGTGAGAGTATCTTGCATAATTCCATCATTGGTAAAATGGATAATTAAAGAATTGGGCTCACTTATGGAGTAATCTCCTTCCACATTTTTTTAAAACTTACTATTTGGGTTTAGGATTTGTTATTCACTTTGTTCTTTCAAATTTAGAAGTTCCTTTATTGTGGGGCATAAAGTCGGTAAGTGTTTAACTGCAGTTTGCAGAAACACCTTTGTGTTAGTGAAAAGCAGCGACTGGAGTTCCATAGATGTGTCTGTCTCAACAGTGCTTTGTTTTCCTTTCCTCCCTCTTAGCAGCTAGGGTTTTTTGCTTGCCTAGTAACTAGGTATTAAGAAGAGAAGCAACTTATACTATTTATCTACATGGAAGAAATTTAAGGTTGAAAAGTAATGGTAAAGTAATTATTAACATAAATATGGATAATTAGTACATTACTAATATTTGCATTAAATATAAAGTAATTCAACAATTTTAGCTTGTGGCATCAATTTCCTTCACGGAGGCCAAAACCTTGAGAATTGAGAATCATATCTAAGTAGCCTTAGTCAACTTTGTTGAAAGCGTTTATAGGTCAAACTTCTTTTTTGCAAGAAACAACTTCTCATTATAGATGAAAAGATACAAATTGTCCAACTCCTGGAGAGAAAAAAAACCAATAAACAACAAAAACAACTGGGTCAAAAAATTAGCCTCGGAAGATAAAAGACCAACTTAAAAAGGCACCAAATCAACAAACTAACCAACGACAAACTAAACAAAGGCCAAAGAAAACACTCAACAAGCTAAATAAACCAAGCAATAAAAAGTGTCCAAGAGGCTCTAGAAGATTACTTTTTTTCAGATTATTCGGAGGATCAGGAAGTCAGTCTTAGTAGCATAGAGTAAAATTTACAATCTGGAAGCGACTTCTTTAGAAGCAGGAAGCGACTTTGGATATTTTTCTTCTTTTCGTTCTTCCTCTTTTTCAGAGAATTCTGTCGACTTTTTAGACATTATTGAAGATCTTTTTTTTCTATTCAACCCCTCAGATGTTTGATGGTTCGTTTGGTGGTTGTTCTGACTTCTCTTTAGCAGGCGTTCGTTATTACTTTGCAAGCCTCGAAGAAGTTTTTTTTTCTTCAAGTCTGCTCATTCCAACTTTGGCTTTAGGTTTAGTGGGGTTGCTTTTGCAATTTGTAGTGTG